ATCCATGAATGAATGAAAATGACGGTTGTTATTAATCGACGTTTCGGGTACCCGACAGGAGGCCCGTCGCGCGGCAAGAAGGCAGAGTCAGCGGACGAGTCGCAGCGCGTGATGTGCGATGTAGGACGTGCAATGGTACATTCTATTTAACTTGACGCGAAATCCTACAGTACGCGCCGCGACTCGTCCGCTGACTCAGCCTTTTTGCCGCGCGACGCGCCTCGACGTTTCATGAGCAGCGTTGCGACAGCGAGCACGTACGAGCCCTAGCCTCGCCCTCATCCTTCACAGCAAAGGATGGGAGCCACGATCAGGTCGAAGGTTCAAAAAAGGGAAACTTACCGAGGGAGAATGAGGAGCGGTCCCTCTAGTGCGGGCCGACACGCAATTCGCAGCGAAGGATATGACCGGCGACCTAGCATGGCCCTCCCGCGGCGCTATCGGCGCGGCACGCCCACCGACTGGCTAACCACTCGCCGCAGGTCTCTAGCCGTTTAGCAGAGAGAGCGTTAGCGTTGAAGAGGGCAGCACCGATGAGAGTCGCATCAATGCGGAAATCAACGGGCAAGGAAGGGTCCCATTTCTCGGGTTCTGGGCCGTTTCTCATGGTTTTTTTCATCCCGGTACCACTGACCACCTCTACTTAATTGCAATGGGCTGCCTTCTAATTGTAAATTCAACTTTCGAGTGCACGGTAATACTACATATGACAGAATGAATGGGCCAAGGCTAGCCAAAACGAGACAACAGTTCATTCGTTTACTCATTGACAAAATTGAATAGTATGTATCAAGTGATGTGAAGCACCACTGAAGTAGTAACTTGATAAAGAATTACTGGAAGCTGTAGTAGGCCAAAATGTTCGAGGAAAAATCGCGGACATACTTTTTTCTCGTCACCAGGTCTCGTGAAGAGATTCTGCGCAAGATATAGGATTCCGACCATTTTTCAAATCTAAGATCAATAGAATTCCATCGGCAACATGACAGCCAACGAATTGTTCTCATTTATCATGCTTTCAATAGATTTGTAATAGATTTTGCTTCAGATATGACTAATATTCTCTGCACGTTGTGCGTGGGCCCTACGCAAAAACGCCAAAAAAACAGTCCAATGAATCATGAACTTTTGCAAAAATGTTATGAACATGGGAATGAACGGCTATTTTCAGTTTTCGGCACGTTTTGTCTCTCCAATCAAAAATTAGGTGCGGAAGCGCTGCCGATTTGGATCTTTCCGTATGATTGATTCCAAATTCAGAGAGGGGAAGAGCTGAAGTCAGTGCTGACCGCGATCGGGAAGAGGTTGTGAGGAAAGGAAGACATCAATGGCTAACGCTGAAAAATGGCCTTCAGATGGGAAAGGGAAGGTTTCAGAGCGCGCAGCAAAAATTATGCCACTCAGGATACTTGTTTACATTTTCGTAAAGACCTTATGATGTTCACTTGCATAAGATTAGTTGCTCTCTGTACCGCACTTGAACGAAAAACTACCGAAACAGTGCTATATTGGGAACAACAGGAAATCGGAGGAGGTAAGCGTTTGCAGGGGTTTTATAGGTACAGCGAAAGGGGGTTGAACTATCAGAACTATTTTTCTGGTATAATTCAAAATTTCCTCACATTGAGCAAAATCAAAATAGAGACTTGTATTGTTGTAGTACTTGTATTGTTAATGGGGAATTGTATTTACTGATGCTGTATTTCACGATGGCGAGGGATCGTATTTAGGGTTTGGGGAGGGTAGGAATTTATAATGGGTAACAGAGAGAACAGTGAAATTCGAAAAAAAAGCTCGCAGCACCCTCGGGTGCACTTTTCGGATTTTGTGGGAGGAGGCGGAGTTGGAGGGATGTCACTCAGGTTGGTGACTTGCAACGACACTACTGACACCGAAGGTGAATGGATGGGGTGGCGGACCATGGTCGGAATGGGGTCATATTCATGGGTAGGGGACCGAGCAGGGTCGTAGTATATTCAATTCCTTCGAACTGAGTCTCTATTTCCTCAATACGTCGCTCACCCCGGGCCTAAACTTGTACTCAGGTTGGTGCATACTCGACAACACAGCTGAAGGAGGTCCATGATGGCAAGCCGAATAGAAAACGGGACACTAATGAGTACCAGCGCAGAGTTTTTCCCCAAGGACTGGTCAGTATGCTTTTTAGGAGTCTAACGAAATGAGCTCGACCTAACGACGAGATGTGACGATAGCCAGAAGAGGAGGCAGTAAGCTATCGGAATGTAACACTATAGCCCTGTTTTGAGTAGCATTGACGTAAACAATAGAATTAAATATCAACACGATCTGCGATCATGCAAGAATCAATGAATGTGACGGAACCTTTCCACGAAATGGAATTTTCAACACATACATTCCCTTATCGAGGCCGCATGTATAATTTGTAAATATTCAAGGGGAACAAATTTAACAAGCGAATTTCAGCAGCTAGAAAGCATTGACATTTCGAATGAGGGTTTAAGAAGTTGAAAAAAAGTGGGAGCTTCACGTCATAATCCGTTTTGGCGATAAATCCAAGAACACATGATGTTCAAAGGCGGAGTTTACGATGAAAAGACAGTATATTGAAAGGCAAGGCAGAAGTGGCCAATGGTGCAGACATAAAGAAAAGACCATTGAAAACGGGTCAGAACCCAAGAAATAGCACCTGTGAGTACCATATACGGTATGAATACAAGTTAACCTCCCCTTCAAAAAGCGAGAAAGTGTCGGGTGCAGACCAAACACCACAACTGACGACGGCCTCCAAGTAAATCTGGTTAGAAGTTGTTCATAGTGATAGCTGATTTCTGGTAAATGATAGTTGTAATTAGTGACAATCGATAGAATACAACTGCAACAGGCTAATCATTTCATTGGCAGAAAACATTAACATTTTGTGAAGGCCGTCGTCACTTGTGGTGCATGGTCTGCACCCGACACTTTCTCGCTTTTTGAAGGGGAGGGTACGTGCATTGCAGCCCGGCTTTGCAGCTAATATTGTTTGAAACTTTCCATGTTGAAAAGGCCCTTTGGCACAAAATGATAGCGATGCCCAATTTGCCTTGATACGAATGAACCCTCATCAAACAGGCTCGTTGCGGGAAATTATATGAGCTCCAGTTCCTATGCGGGGATAAGGATGAGAACAGGAGAAGAATTCAATAGTGAATGACGTTAGCGATTTCGTTCGCATGGCTTATCCAATTCTCAGTGTTGCTCAGTCTTGCTTCCCTTTCTGAGAAGCCTCTCAAGTATAAGAATTTTACGAATATCCTCCCTTTCAAAAAAATGGAAGAGCGTCGGGTGCAGACCATACACCACAAGTGACGACGGCCTCCAAGTAAATCTGGTTAGTAGTGGTTCATAGTGATAGCTGATTTTTGGTAAATGATAGTTGTAATTAGTGACAACTGATAGAATACAACTGCAACAGGCTAATCATTTCATTGGCAGAAAACATTTACATTTTGTGGAGGCCGTCGTCACTTGTGGTGCATGGTCTGCACCCGACGCTCTTCTCGTTTTTTCTCAGGGTTATTCAGGTGACCCTGACGCTTCCGTATGAAGGCAAGCGGTAAAATAAATAGATAGATAAACAATTACGAATATTAAATAAATAATAAAAATAAGAAGGTACAGTAGCGGTCAAAAGTGTTCGCCGAAACGATTTTTAGTGCATTATTTTTTCTCGCTTGAGCAACGCCCTCCAAAGATTGATATACTATGTTTTCTAGTGTTTTTATATCCTCAAGTCTTAAAGAATCAGGATATTCAAAAGAAAAAATTTCGAGGCCACCATTGATTTTTTTCTGGCAAAAAAAGAGAAGCACGGAAAACCGTTTCGGCGAACACTTTTGACCGCTACTGTATGATAATATGATGACAAAAGAGTAAATAAATGAAAATATAAATAATAAAATATGACTATTAATACATTAGTAAATATATGAATGAGAAAGGTTCCAAGTATCAGCTGAAGAAACAAGAAGGTCCATCTGAGAAAGGAGCGGAACAGTTTTATTTAATTCGTTTATAGAGGCTTTTTCCTTCTTTGAAAAAATTAGTAAGTACACTTAACAAACGGGGAATCGATTTTATTTTAGTTACTTCCACAAGAGACCAGTGGTGAAAAATGCAATTAGTGTACTACACAGTCGTAATGGAGCGACCAACAGCAGCGGTAAATGGAAGAAAACTAGGAATTTTCTTGATGGACACGGTTTTTGCAGGTGGTTGCGCCGTAATCGATCACAGATCAGCCAGCGGTCAGACGTCTGGCGCTGTCTCGCTCAGTCGCCAGGCTAACCCGGTTCAAACGGATAAAAAGGCAAAATTAAAATTACACTGACACAATAGAATGGAAAAATATAACCCTGTAGAGGATTCAGTGAACCCTGTGAGGTGATTTGGGCGAGGTTGACAACGAGGAACACGATCGACTGAACGAACGGCCGATTTCACGAGGAGCACGAATCGAATCGATCGCGTACGAACATGCAACGATTCGCGCGTTTGACACGATCGACGACAGTCGTCGATTTTTTGAATGCCAAATTTTTTGTACCAAGCGAGTTGCTATTTTCACCTCATGGGTTGTGAATCATTGTAAAAATGCTTGAATACACTCATTTACCGAAAAATCGCTTCCAAACCAATTTTGGGCAAAGTTTATACACAAACTTTTTATTTGGATTTTTTTTATTTTATTTTGAAATGTCTCTTTTTGGGTATGAGCGCTGTAAGCCCAAAGGGGGCATTTTGCGAAGCCATTCAAAACCACAAGTAAATTTATGACCGTTCAGAATAATTGATACACACCTAGTGAGCCAGGTTGGTAACGATCCGGGGGGTGGAGGGATTACGGTAACGATCATTTTTAGGACTAGACCTTAGGTAGGGAGAGGTACATACCCCGGGGCGCAAAAGCTAACATCTTTTTTTCTTGGAGTTCCTCTTCCCCACAAGCTTGACCTTAGGAGACCTTACGAAGGCCATCACATGGGGTAACTCCAGAGGGCTCCATGTACGCAAGGGTTATCGTGACCCGCTTCGACTGCTGCAGCTAGTTCCTCCCCTCCATCTTTCATGTACTGAAGTAAATTCAAATCAAGTTAACATTTTTTATTTAAACAACATGCCATCACGTTCGACCATTTTTTTATGGTCTCAGGTCTGGCGGGGGCGGGGCCTAAACTTCTTCACCTTGTGTGCTCACCTGCAATGAGCATAAGCAGCTCATCCCGCCGAATAAATGCCTTTTTCTTGTCTGTGCATTACTTTTTAGGTTATCGAATCATTCCGCTGAATCATTACAACATGCATTCAAGAGGGAGTATAGCCCTAACTTTCGGTGCCCATAAGGGCATTCAAAAATTCTCAATGATTTGTGCACTTCTGGTATTCTAGAGTGCTAATTTGAAACATATTTGCCTTTTTTTCAACCTTCACTCGCAAGCGTTCCCATCACCGCAGATGCATACGTTTAGTGGAGATAATGAAGAGAGAAGCCAGGGATCACCTGCAGTTGCTGACCTGCGCTGGATCATTGGTATCCCTTTCATTAGGAAAGCTGGTACAAAAATATGCCGGTGGGTAGAAAGCTCGAAGTAAGAGGACCAAAAAAGCGATATCGCTCGGCAGTCATTCCCTTTCATTCCTTCGGTCTACGACGATCTCGTGAAACCAGCCATCCATTGCAGTGACAGAATCGCTTTCAGTTCTTAGGCTCTGACGTCTTTCTAATTGTGCCTTAGTGTTATTGTCAAAAAAATTCATTTTCTAGTACTGTTTGGATTCAAGCCAACAGCGCGCTGCGCATCCGCACGCACCACCAATCAGGGAAGTGCGGGAAATCCATGAAAATGCAAATTTACAGTGGATAACCGCAACATCAACCTATTCGAGAACTACTTTGCGAGCCTAATCTGACCTAAGCCTAATTTCCATTCAGATCAAACAGAGTGGTACTGTCGCTGGTGCATTATTTTTGGGAAATTTTAAGTACTTTGAGATTTTCTATTTAGCATATTTCTTTGAATTTCATGGATTGGAATTGCTAGTAATACTTCCCGTCTGCACAATATCACCGAACTAGTCCTGAACTCCAGCATTAACGATTAGGAAAGTAGTGGCGTGGTAGGCCAAGTTTCGTGGAGTGCGCCACGTACTTATTCTTTGTAAAAAATTGAATATTTGGGGTTGAGCATAGTTATTCTATTTCAGGGGGAGTGCGAGTGAGGTTTCGTTCTCGTGGAGTTTGAAGGAAGTGAAGGGATCGTGGTTGCGGGAAAGGGGGTCGTTGTGGATGGATTTTTTGATGATTCATGTAGAAACTTCAGGAAAGAAGCGTGGAATAGACAGAGTTAGAGTATCTGCCGTTTCTTACAAATATTCTGTTTTTTGATTGATTTTTGAAGATGCATTTTCAAGCAGCCAAAATGACACTACCCATGTGGGTAGCTCTATTCTTCCACCTATCTACCTTCCCTTTCAAAAACGAGAAGAGCGTCGGGTGCAGACCATACACCACAAGTGACGACGGCCTCCAAGTAAATCTGGTTAGTAGTGGTTCATAGTGATAGCTGATTTTTGGTAAATGATAGTTGTAATTAGTGACAACTGATAGAATACAACTGCAACAGGCTAATCATTTCATTGGCAAAACATTTACATTTTGTGGAGGCCGTCGTCACTTGTGGTGTATGGTCTGCACCCGACGCTTTCTCGTATTTTGAAAGGGAGGGCATCTACAATGTTCCAAGAGTTTTCTCTACCTGACTTCATCGTGGCATGTACCTGCAAACAAAAATGCAAAAATAAATTGTAAACTCGTTCTGCACTCGTTTACCGAATTTTTAGAAGGATAATTGGAGCTGTCAGTCGCTTCCATTTAGAAATAAAAATGTTCACGATTAGGATCAGAAGAATCAGTTTCTATAGAACAGGACGAAATAAGTAGGAGGAGAACCTTACAGAGCATTGAACACAGAACGCCGATCAGGGGCTGCAGGGTACACCGCACATTTGGCTTGCATTCAGTACTAAAGACATCTAGAAGGGTCATAAAGTAGTTCAGATAATACGACAGAATTGAAGTTTAGAGTTGATTAGCAAGCCTGGTAAGTGCAGCCAGGCCAGCCCTAAACATCTGAACGTCAGGGAGTGAACAACAACTAGACAACGAATAAAGAGAGGTGCTTGATTGAATAGGCGCTTCCAAAGAGGATCTCTCAAGTGTAGGAAAGGAGTCTTAAGAATTGCATTGAATGCAGAATTTACGATAAAAGGAGCCCATCAGAAATCAAGGTAGAGATGACCAGTGAGGAGGAAAAAAATATGAGAAAGGCTCACAACCCGAGAAATGGGACTTCCTCTTTGCGCATTCAATCAACGAATTCCGCATTGAGGCTAGTACCATCGAAGCTGCCCTAACGCTGACGCTCTCTCTGGGTGGAGTCAGACGGCAATGAGTCAGCCTATCGGTGGGCGTGCAAAGGCGCGAGCGTCGCGGGTATGGCCCTGCTAGGCTTCTGAAGGTATACCCACACACTCAAGGGCTCCGCCTGCCTTTCAACTTGGTGTAGTGCTTTCTTCGACTTTTGACCTTATCCTTGCCTGCTTTCAAGCCTTTCGGGAAGACTTCATTCCAGATTGCGCAAGATAATGCGTTTTGCAGTATTCTCCATCCTCTCTCTTCCTGTAACCTCGGCCTAAATTGTTCTTATTTGTGTTATTTGTATGTGCCATATGAGGTTGAGGTGGAACGTCCATTAGATCAGCCTAACGTTTAACACATTCACGACGGCGCCCCTTTTCCACTTTTCGGTCGCGTGGGACGGACGCGATTTTGTGGGCGCCGCCGCCTCACCTCACACCGCAGATTTTGTTACTGTAAATGAACAAAAACATGAATGTCACAAAATAATTTCTGCAATGTCCAATGCGTAAAGATTATCTAAACATATAACAGTAGGATTTCGATCAGAACGACAAATAGTGGTTACGAAAAGAGAGCATTTATTCACTTTCCCCGTGAAGGAATTTAAAAGCATTTTACACTCGATTACGAGGTTTGCCCACCTATCTTCCATTCCTAGCGCCTGGCAAGCGATTATCAGCTGGCAGCCCATATGGGCTGCCATCGGCGTGAATTTGTGAAACAAAACCCTCTCTGTCGAAGGTCATCTTCAGTCAAATGTGGTTCAGGGTTAAGATTTCCACATAGCCTCATTCAATGTCTCAGTTATGATTTGTCATGCCCCAGTCTCACTGCCTCCTCTTACGCCCCAAGAATTCTGGAACTCTACTCAAGATCCCCTTCTTTAGATACCTTCAGTAGGCAACAAGGCGAGATGATGGTTGTCTAGTGGCCATTCTATTTGTCAGAATACAAAAACTGCCTTTCAAAGGTTGAACAGCGATGAGAGCCAATTTCTGCCGTTACACTCAGCCCCGCTGACGTAATGCATTCCTCAGTAAGAGCGATAGAATATTCAACGTTCGTCGCCGGAATTCCGTTGTTTTCTATGGAAGGAATAGCGACGAAGAATGCCTTTCCCAAACAAGTTAAGAACTTCCTCAGCCAATTTTCGTGCTGCTAGCGACGAGAAAAACGGAAGTGTTCCTTATAGAGTTTATCTTGAACAATAGGATTGGAGTAAAGGGATGTGACCCATCGGCAAGTGGGCTGCCTCCCACACGCATTATCCTGAAATCAAATCCTGGGAGAAACCTGCTGCAGTCGAACCAGACCTTCAACCTCTTTGGAGTTGGTTAGTATCAGACTAGTACTTTGAATTTCTCACGTCCGCCACTTAGCTTTTTCAAGAAAATAACATATGACAAATTCCTCAGTTTAAGAAAAAAGAAGATAAATTTTCCGCTCAAGGCAGCTTCACTGGATGCGCCACGCACTCTTTTTTTGTTAAGAATTGGAAAATGGTTTGAACATGTAGTATTACAAGTGGAGGCATCGGACATGCTACTTTGGTGGTTGGCCATAAAGGAAAGTTAAAATGTTACGTGATGAGACAGTCACGAACAAATTCTATTGAAACAGCAAAAAAAAATGAGAAAAAAACCTCACTGCATTTCAGAAGCACATGACAGTTCGTCACGATACTTATCATTGTCATTTTGAACAAAGTGCCCCGCTTCTTATCCGCAATTACGAGAGTACAGACGTGTAAAGGTAAGAGCGAACATCAGAAGGCGGGGTCAAGGCGGAGGCGTGGTCTCATCTTCGTTAGGACTTGCTAGTTTGAGGGCAAGATTCGGGATAAAATAAATGTGGAAAAGCGTTCACTTATGATGCTAGAGGTGGGAGGTGGTCTGTAAAAGAGAAGAATAGCAACGAAATACCGATTACGCCCCGTACAGAGACCTCCCCTATTTCAAAGGGAGCGCGCATTCGCAAGATTGGGAATCAGAGAAGGGGCGAGTTGGACGAGTTTCACGAGCCTAACTGTAGTTACTCCAATGCCAATGACATTGGGTCGCAATGGGACTCAAGCAGCGCCACGTGGCAACCGACAGCGGAGGGTGGGGCTTGCGGACGAAGGTGTGAGTTGCGGGTCGGACGAGCTCCTTGCGCCTTTGTCGCGCACTTTCAAGCGGCAAAAGGGGCGCGACATCAACGCTTGTCCGCCTGTCTACTACCCCCGGGATGGAACAGGCGAGCGCGCCTAATCCTGGAGCGTGCCTTTAGGCGGTGTTTGGGAACAATTTATTCATTCTAATTATCCACTTTTATATGTAGTTTTTTATATCTCTTCTATTCCCCTTCCTCTTTACTAACCATCTTTACCCAATGTAAGTAGCCCAATTATCGTCTCACTCCCTTTCATAATGACTTTCGATGACTTTCGAAGAAAATGTCTGCTTTGTGGTAGGTTCCTAAATTTTCGACTACAAATTCAGAAATAGCTAATCAATAAAATCGAAGTTTGTTATAATAAATTTTTGTAGCAATGGTCCTGACCGGACCAGAGACCAGGCACGGTAATTTCCCGGATTAATTCTGCATGGATGTAAAAGGAATGCAAAGTGAAAGCCCTTCCCACCAGTGTTGTCACAGCGCTTATTGTCAACAATTCCAGAAGGGGCTTCCCCTCTTCCCCTTTGAAAGTGAAAGGGCGGTCGGACGAGTTGTCTGAACTGGCTTGCATTTCTTGCTGGCTCGTGCCAGCAAGAAATGCGGCTGCAATCGCATTTGCCCTAATACAAACAGAGACATATGCATCATACAAACAAGAAGATACAATAATTAAATGAGTTAAACAACAAAAACAATCGAAAACACGTAGCATTAATTTTGAACTGCGGAGTAGCAAGGGAGCAAGGACCCGCGCCCAAGCACGCGCTCCCCACGGCTGGCAAGTGGGCATAGTTAAAACGTTTCAAGCATACCTATGGCTAGGGCGTTTTGCTTTTTTTGCGGCTTTCCGAGTTGAGTTTTCTTTAAAACAACACCTTATATATTCTTTACTAGGGCTACTTACTGCATCATTTAACCCCGTTAGTAATGAAGGTAACAGATCCCGCTGGGATTGTTGCTTTAAGTGATCCCAGTATCTTCTCGAAGAGGTCAAGGTTGGGAAAATTTAGCTTCAAACAATACTGCAGTAAAGGACTATCGATTTGAAACTGAGGTATACTCAAAAATCTCAATGCAATGGCAATTGAATTTCGGAAAATGCGTCGAGAAAGGAGCTGATGAGGGAGCGGAGAATTGGGTGAGATAGGAACGGTGATGGAGAGTTAAGTGGTTCAATAGTGAGACGAAACGAGCTGCTCTCTCCCTCCTCACCTCTCACTCGCATTTCCGTCATTTTCCGCTCTCAACAATGGAGTCGCCCTGACCATTCAGAAAAAGGAATAAGTGAAAGCTCTTAAAGCCTCAAGGAACAATTCGACCTCGTACTCTGCAGATTAATAGATTGCCGTGGATCACTCGCATGCGATGACTCGTTTTGAGTTATACCAGTCATAGAAATTTATTAAAATTCATTAATTTTGAATTTATCAAAAAAATTAAAAAACAAGTGAAATTTCAGTTATAAAATTTAAATTCATAGTCATAGGAATCCGCCCTGCTTCAAGTGTCTTCGAAGGCCATGAACGCCCAAATTTTTAATGTTACATTCTGATGTGGCCAATTTTGCGCAAGAGGTGAACGTTGAAGGAATAGTATCCGAGAAATTCGATGTGGAATGCTTCAGGGAAATAAGAATTGTATCTATACACATTCTATGAAAAAGTCATAAACAAAAACAAACAAACAACGTTTGACGAATCCATCAATGTTTACGAGTTTACGTGTTTTTGCTCCAATGGCAGAACCTTAAAGAATTTTATCCGTCTT